TGGAACAGGCTGCCCAGAGAAGTTGTGGAGTGTCCTTCTGTGGAGATACTCAAAACCCATCTGAACATAATCCTGTGCAACCTGGTCTAGGTGGTCTTGCTCTAGCAGAGGGGTTGGACTAGATGATGTCCAGAGGTCCCTTCCAACCCCTACCATTCTGTGATTCTGTCATAGCAAGACAATGATTAAATGGAGTTGAAAAGTGAAGATTAAATTTATTTAATTGATTGCACTTCACGATAGAAAATAGGGAGGAGAGGAAAAGCTCATGTTATATTCTCTGTCAGCAACTTTCATGGGATCTTCCTGCAGCCCTAACACAGGCACTTATATTGATCCAGGAAACTACAGAATGTTAGTCTAACTTCAGTCCCTGAAAAAAATATGGAGAAGATAATACTAGGTCCTATTCAAAGATATTTACAGAACAATGCAGTCATCAGGCACAGTCAACCTGGTTTCACAAAGGGAAAGTCCTGTTTAATTAATTTGATAGCCTTCTATGATTATGTCACCTGGTTAGTGCTAAGGGAAAGGTGGTGGATGTAGTTTTTTATGGATTTTTAGTAAGGCTTTTGATAACTGTCCCTGACAGCATCCTTCTGAACAAGCTGTCTAACTGTGAGATGAGCAGGTTCATGGTTTGCTGGGTGAAGAACTAGCTGGACGGCATGCCTCAGAGGGTTGTAGTGAATGGGGCTACCTCTGCCTGGCAACCAGTCACCAGCAATGTTCCTCAGGGCTCAATTCTGGCGCTAGCTCTGTTCAGTGTATGTATCAACGATCTGGATGCAGGAGTTGAATGCACCGTTAGCAAGTTTGCTGGTGATACCGAACTGGGAGGTGCTGCTGACTCTCTTGAGGGACAAGAGGCCTTGCAGAGGGATCTAGATAGATTGCAGCATTGGGCATTCATCAATGGCATGACATTTAACAAGAATAAATGTTGGATTCTGCACCTGGGATGAAGTAATGCCGGGCACAAGTATAAACTGGGAGAAGAGTGCCTGGAGAGTAGCCCTGCAGAAGGGGATCTGGGGTGGTGGGTGGTTGATGCTAATCTCAATATTAGCCAGCAGCATGCCCTGGCAGCCAAGAGGGCAAACTGCATCCTGGGGTGCATCAAACAGCATAACCAGATGGCGAAGAGGTGACTATCCCACTGCATTTAGTGTTGGTGCAGCATCACCTGGAGTACTGTGTGCAGTGCTGGGCCCCACCATTTAAGAAGGATGTGAAGGTCCTTGAATGTATCCACAGGAAGGCAACAGAGCTGGTAAGAGGGTTGGAAGGCATGAGCTGAGGGCTCTGGGTTTGTCTAGTTTGGAGAAAAGGAGGCTGAGGGGCAACCTCATGGCTCTCTGCAGCTTCCTGAGGAGGGGAAGTGGGGAGGGAGGTTTTGTCATGTACTTTTCCACTTTGGCTCAGCTTGGATGATGAAATATTCTGGTAATTTCCACCAGTTGTGTGGACTCAGAACTTTTCTGGCATCTCCCCATTTTGGGCCATGGCTCACGTACAGGTGTACCAGGCTGTCAGGAGGTGATCGATTAGCACTATTGTTCCAAAGTAATGAGGGAACAAGAATGTCACAGCCATTCAAGCACAGGTGTACCAGGCTGTTCTTGCTACCAAGTGAGCAAGAACCAAACACATTAAAGGGACGCCTTGACGCTCTGGTCTGCTGTTCAGGTTTGTGGCTCAAAAAAAGGGGAGAAATTGTGCCAAGTACTGAGCAGCTCAAGATGGGGGGGGGGTTGCACCACCACAGGACTGATTCTGCTCTGTGATGTGATAGATTACTTACTGAGCACCATATTTTTCTAGGAATGTATATAGGGCATGAGAGAGAGACATCTGATGTACATATTTGGTGTATTTGTCTGTTGAAAAGGCGGTCCTTGATTTAAGGTTGCCGAGTGATAGTGTTAATTTATTTGAAAGTTTTTCATCCAGTTACTGTACTATCCAGAATGTTTTTATCAAGTTTAAAGAAACAGAGAATGAACTGATGGTATTGTCAAAAGTAGTGCTCCATTACAAAAGAGATGACACCACCTGATCTAGAAAATGAGAAATGTTTGTATGGTGATTATTTCTTTTGGTTTGGGTTTGTTTTCCTTTATTTTAAAAGGTTATCTTTTGAAGATGCACTTTACGAAGTTATTTTGAGTAGTGAAAAGCTAAGCTTGTCAGTTCTTGATATTTTTATTATAAGAACTTGGCTGATGATTCTTAGCATATTTATCTCTTTTTAGTTGATGAAAGCCAAATGCAATCTGCAGTGCTTTTTATGGAATGCTTGGCCATATCAACAGTACTTTTGTATTTAAATGTATGATTAATTTCTTATCAGATTACTAGCAATATGATATCTATATGTAATTTGAAATGTATCTGAAGAAAAGTTATAGGTGTAGTACTCAGTTTCAGGAAGTGAAATAGTAATAATATATTCTTTCTCTAGAGCATGGTAAGATACTAAAATAAGTAATTTTTTTAAAATCTAAGGTTGTTTAGTTTGGTTTTTTTAATGAACTTTTCTGAACTGGTGTTTTTTTCTTATTACTCCTATATTTTCAGTGATTATAGTGAGGTAGAGCACTAGTTCTAGACCGTTTTTTTGTTGAGTCCACAGATGTGGTTTTGATAGAAGATTTATTTGACTACTGGCTTTTTTGGAAGCCAATCTTTTGTTTAGTCATCACATATCAAGCACAATCCATTTAACCTTAAATGTGTATCGGCCATGGATCTAAAGAGGAGTGGGGATGTGAGATATTGTCATTGTTTCCAGTGGCTCATCTTTAGTTGTGGTCATTGCCTGATGTGACAGAGGAAGTTAGGGGGGTAAATGCCGACTCTGACTAGTTCTGGTTTCCCCCTTTCGAAAAAAGAATAAAAATGTTTCTTAATCCTTCCAAGTGGCTTTTTAAATCTTTTCAAGGAGTAAGTGGTCTATTGTAATAGATGCTCTTTTGTTTTCTGCTGTATAAACTTAATAATTGAATTTCTATCCTGGTCTATCTCATTTTACTCCAATGAAACTGAACACACTTCAATAGATGCTTCTTTTCTTGTTATACAGCATTCCTTGTCAATGATGCGAGTGAAAGCTTTAGCAGCGGAACATTATCAATGGCAAAAAAGAATTCCTGAAGGTAAGTAATGGCTTCCAGGTAGGGTATACTCGTATAAACTTCTGCAAAGTCTCTTTCACCTAGGCATCTTAAGCTGTGGATATATTGAATGTCTGCTGATTGTATTTTCATACTGTAACTACTTAAAAGTTAAATACTTCCCACAGTAGCATGATTTTTCATTTCTGTATTCTTTTTGCACTTCAGCTCTAAGTGAATTCAGAATTCAAAGTGAATTCTACTGTAACTTACTCGTATGATTCTGGACAAATAAATGCATGATTCATATCACCATTCATCAGTCAGTTAAATGGAAAAATAACTGTTAGCAGATCTAACAAAATAATAGAAGTTCATAATGCTGTTACCCACCTTCAGGTTTCTCCTTTCTGTGATTGTTTCTTCTCCATCTTTCATTTGTATTTCCTTTTTAGGACAGAACTTCTTTGGCAAAGAAATTTTGTCTTCATTTTGTCTTTTAAGAAGCTGATTTATTTTTTTTTATCTTTGCAAGTATTGCTAATAAATAACAATAATTTATGCAGATATATTTTTAACCATACCTCTGTTCATTTTTTTTTTATTAATACTTCACAAAATGTGTTGTATTATGAAAACTGAAACTTTGAAGTAACCATTAGTAGTAAGCCCATTAGACTGTAGTAAAATATCTAGCTTGGATTTAACAGGGGTCAAAGATTTCAGGTCAAGAAAAGGTGGTGAAAGACACTTCAGTTTAAAAACATAGGAATCTAGATCACTTACCCTGAGAAGCACAATCCCACTGAGACAAGTGGTAGCTCTTGTATTTGTTAGGCATTATCAGTCAAAAGATATAAATTCCTCGGTTCTTCAAAATTCTTTTTGCACGTTAGCATCGTTGCCAACTGCTTTCACTCTATTGCAAGGCTGATGTGGCCAGACACTGAAAATAAAGCCATTCAGAATATAAGTGTGAGTAAAGTAATCTTTTTTTTCAGATGTCCTATTTGGAGACTCCTAAAACAGTTCACACTACACTATCCATATTACCATAGCACTCACTGTTATTTCTCCTGTGAAGGAACTGTCAGCACCTTTCAACGCAGTAAAACTTACTAGTTAATCTTTAAATGGATACATTGACACATTTGACTATATTTATGCCAGAAGAGGCTTGGGGTTTTTTAGTGTTCACAAAATGATAGGAATGTGTTCTAGAGAACAAGTGGCAATTTCCAATATTTTGTCATTTGGCTAAATTGGAATGCATTTTCAGATGAACATTAAAGTCACTTCTCCAGGTTCTTTCAAAGTTCATGTACTTGCTGCATATTGTGATCAAATAATAGGAGCTAGAAAAAAATATTTCTTCTTTCTTATAAATATTGTTGCTCTATTAGAATAAATTCATAGTTCATGTGTTTTTTGTAAGTCCGTCTTTAAGAATGGTCAGCCTTAAATGCTTCTTAGAGGTATGTAGACAAATAGTATGACATCGAATGAATTTGGTAAATACTGGTTCTTAGCTGCTGCTCATGAATAAGCTGCTGGCTTAAAGCAAATTAATTGAAAGCACTTATAGTTTTTATCTGGCTAAAATACCTGGAGATGTTAGGTTTTCTTACTAAAATATGTAATTATTTTAAACTTTAAGCTATTTGCTTAAAAATATTCTTGGGGCTTGACCTATTTTTATTGGCTTGCTGACTTGCTTTGCTCAACCATTCTTTTTTGTTCACAGGTGATAAGATTTATTATTAGAAATCTTAATTTTGTACTAGAGAAATGATCTATGCATATTATAATGCAAATAATACTTTGCAGCCAAAGCTTTGTCTTTTTGGCTACCTCTCTGAGGGAATAAAAAAGAAATTGCTGCTAAGAATTTGAATGGAGCTATAGTGCTTGTATAAAAATGAAGAGTCTGCTGTGCTTACATCTTCTATGTCCATCGTGGCTCCTTTCTACTTACTGTTTGTTTTGAAGGAGGAATTAATTAATTGAAAACATTGTCTTAATTTATCTGAATAAGAATAGCATGCATACTAATTTCATACAATTTACTAATACAGCATGAATGTCTGGCTGTCTTGTTATTTTGATTGCTGCTTTTAGTAGTGGCCAGTTCAATTCTTGTAAATGAGGGCCTGTCAGCATTTCAATTTTAAACATTATTTTCAGAGGTTATAACTTGGCAGTTCTACATTTCTTTGGGCACAATATTGGCAAACAGACTTAAATCCACAATGCAAATTTTATTTTTTCAAAGCTTTTACTTTAGTCTCTTATTCTTTCTCAATTTCTGGTACTACTTATATAGCTCTAGAGCTGCTAAATTAGCTAAATTAAAATTTTTTAACAAGCATTTGGCTCGTAAAAATAGAATTTAACTTCTACCTTTGCAAAAGAAGGAAGTGGAAGCAACCATATTTTAAACCATATAAACTACTTGTGGTCTCTGCCTAATTTCTATTTTTCTTTGCAAATACCAGTATTCTGCCAAATGCCTCTTATTTTAATAGGAGTTTCTGTATAAACATATGCATGTAGTTGTTTTTACATTCCTAGCATCTGGTAGTATTTTGCTTAGTAATTGTACTATGTATCACTAGACAATTCTGTTTGACTTTTGATTTTTTTCTTCAAATGTAGCTGAAAAAGCTTAACTGATAGATAGAGCAACGTGTGTTCTTTGCAGTAGCAGCTGCCATAAATGTGTTGTCCCAGTGTCTTAGATCTGCACTGTTCCTTCACTGATACAGGGTTAGTGATTTCTTTCCTAGGAAGATGTGGCCTTTTATTCTGATACTCACACTATATGAATATTGAATGGGAAGCGCATATTCAGGATCAGGTATCTAAAAAAGAAGAATTGATAGAAACGAATAGGAGAAATTGGTAATTCCAGGTAGTGAGGGCTCATGATAATCTGGGCAGGGGAGTTGTATGGATTTCTTCAAATATGCCAGCGAATGTGAATAAAACTACACCAATTCATTTTATCATGTGTATGTAGGATATTCATGTCATTAAAGAAGTCTTACTCGAATAATAACACAGACTGCTACCTCCCACAGCTCTTAAACACAAGCTTGATTTGGGAGCAATCAAATTTTGTGGCACGATTTAGAGACAGTAATTCTCTGTGTAAAAGACGGTTTACTGTGATGTAATTTAATGCATTTTGAACTCAGTAGTTTTGCTGATTTTCATCTCAGAACACTGCTTTTAAAACTACTAAGTTAAGGCTTCTCAAACTTTGTGGAGATAAAAACTATGAAATTACCAAAACCAGTATTTATAAATTTATTAAATCAACTGTATTGTGTTTAGGTGCTATTTAATGCTTTTATGAGAGGATTAAGCATTTTCCTTTTTGTTAAAGGAAAAGCTTTTAGTGAAGTAATTGTATTTAAGATTACAGATTTGGAGCCCAAGCTTGGACAAAAACTATCCAGTCATATTAAGTTTTAAATCAGTTAAAGTAGCTTTCATTTCTTCTGTTAATAGATTCAAATGCTTCACTTTTTCAAAAGTCATACGGTTATGCAGATGCTGCAAGTTGACATGGAACTGAGATTCGATTGGAGTCCATCAAACACTATCAAACACAAAAATTCACTTTTTATTCAGAAAATCCATGAACCATAAATCACTGTGTTTTGCAGAAGCATTCTGGGGAAACATTACCACATCTTTGAACAATATCATACTTTCCCTTAAGTCCTGCTGTTGCTCAGGGTTGGAGTTAGGATATTGGCCTTGCTGGGCCTTTCATCTCCTTACATGTAGCTTTCCTTGTGAACAGTAAGCATAGTGACATGCTTTTTAACTTCTTCAAATCTGATAGGTTTTACAATCCTGATCAAGCATTTGGGAAGCTGTTTAACAAGGGATTGGAAGGGTGGAAGAACTTGATTGCCCACATTGGTAATGTTGATGGAATCCCTTCCACTGAAAAAATCAGGCTTGCTTGTCTTGAAGTATGACTGTACTATGCGTTTCAATATTATGTATCTGAACTAGTTCAGGAATAAATTAAAAATGCAGAAGCATTAACACCACCCATTTTCCAGTCTAATTTAAATTGCTGAAAAGTGACAGTAGGTTAGCTCAGCAGGACACCACAAAATGTGGTTAAACTGCTGCTGACAGCCAAGCTAGTTTTTTAGAGGCTGTACAAGTTTCTCTGTAGCCAGGCTGCTTTTCAGTGTAAACAAGTCTATATCAACCGATGCAAAAAACCTAATTCATTTTATTTTTCAGTAATTTCTGCCCATCCAGATGTACTGTTAGCATTAGGAAAAGAAGAGGTAAGTCTTTTTGTTTGCTGAGATAATAAAATTTCATTGAAAAAAAAAAAGAAAAGTGTATACAATTGCTGCATTTTCCTATGACTTCTCTTGTGGTGGACTACTGCTAAGATATTGTGTATGTTTCTTCAGGCATTGTTCTGTTTTTCTTCCCCTGCATTATAACTACTAAAATTTCCTAGTTGTAATGAATGATCTTTTAAACAAAGATTTGTTTATATATTGCATTTCATACTTGATATAAAATAATGTCATGTTAAGTGTTACACTGAAGAATCAGTATTCTGAGATCTAGAGTTCTGTGGCAATAATTTACAAATAATTTGTTGAATTTTTCCAGCCTTGGAAGAAAGAGCGAATCAAGAATGTCATGGGGTAGCTTTATACTATATTGATTGGACATTGGTATGCAACATGACCTGAGAATATTCTTGTGGATGTGGCTTAAAAAAAACCCCAAAACAAACAAACCCCAAAACTTTTTTTGTTTTCTTCTTCCAAGCAGCTTTCCTTCCTCTAGTATCACTCACAACTGAACCCAACTGCTGTTAAGAGCCGCTATTAACAAGGGTTTTTTGTTACATACTTTCATTTCACTGTATTGCTATGGCATGTTTGATCTGATATCCTATTTTGTGGCCTATTTTGTTGAGGATTCAGATTTTTTTTCAGGTGTTGCATATATAGAGCATATTTGCTTCTGTAGAATATTTTCACAATTTTTATTTCTTTGAGCTACGTATAAAAGTTCTTATAGTTTGTATGGAAGGACACAAAATACATCTAAAGCATAGGTTTATATTTAAAAAAACCCATAAACTACTTTGTAGCAGATAATGTATTAATGAAAGACCCAGTTCACTGAGAGTCCACTGTTTCCTATTTTCAGCAGTGCATGTAACTTCTGGCTGCAGTAGTCTTATTTCTCCTGCTTTCCTCTCCCAGATGTGTCTCTATCACTAAGAACCATTTAGTTAATGTATGCAATTAGTCTTTCCTTGCAGCATTGTTGTTTTCTGAGTGCTGTACATTTTATGTTGGTGCAACTAGCATGGATTCATTCTTGGAAACAGCTGCAATGATTTAGAGAATGCAGCCTTGGTGCTGCAGATGTTTTCTCCTCAATCTTTTCATCAGATGAGCAGTTCATGTTTGTGCTCCATAACCCACTTCAGGTAAAATCAACTGTGTTGTTTTACAGAGCTTCAATAAGACACTAATGGGCAACTGGTGACAGTATTGTTTTAAATAGCCCCAACTGGATTTTAAAATAGTGTATCACTCTATAGCCATATTTCTTAAGAAATTCCAGATAATACTGTCTCTCTTTAACAGATTTACGGATGTAACCTTACATAGAACAAATACTACAGACTGCGCTACTTGCGAACTGTAGGTTTATTTTTACTATTTAATAGTTGCAGAAAGTAAAAAGTGATCTTGAAATGGTGCTGACAACACTTCAGTTAAAGAATAAAAATCTGGAAGAAGATCTGAAAAGGTAATACAATAATTTGGACTTACAAATGCTGTAAGCTTTTTTAACCATGCTTTTTGGGGGTTTTTGACTGTCCAGGAAAACTATTTATCTGTTGTGCCATTTCCTACTTTTCATGTTTCAAAGAGAGCAGCAGTGGCACAAGGAACAGGAGCAGATGCTAGATACTCTTAATGACATTGAAGAGGAAAAAACTCAAGTTGAACAATTTTGCAATAAAAGGTATTTCTACAGCGCTGTTTTTATATTGAAGCATTTAAATATCAACAAGAGCAAATGAGCAAACAAACTCTTAAAACATACTCCTTGTTTGTTAAATAGATCAAATAATAACTTAGTAATCCATAGTTGAAACATGGAAAATATTGCTACTCTGCTTATATCCTGTGATTCAAGATTTTGAACGTATAACAATAGAAAATAAGGGATTTTTTTACTTAAGAATAACTTTTTAATTATTTTACTGAATTTCATATTCTATTGCTATGTTTTTACTATTAATTTGAACACTAGAGCATGTTATGAACTGCACAGTAAATTGTTGAAGCTAAAGTTATATAAGGAAGAACTCTTGAGTGCTCTGGGTGAATTCCTAGAAGAACATTTTCCCCTTCCAGAGAAACATGGAATTGCTGAAAAGAAGGTAAGATTTTCTTAACTGTTAAATTTGGAATGTTCAATTTCTAATCAATTAGATGCAATATCTTTTCTAAGTGACTAGCACAGAATCTGCAGTTATATTTTGAAATAATTATCGTTCTTACAGCTGATCCTTTAGGTTTAATTGATATTTTTCAGGTTGGTTTATATTATTTAAGGCTTTTCCCAGCTGGATATTTTCTTTTTAATGCATTTATCCTTTACCCAATGAGATGCATAGCAATGTATTGTATTTCTTACTGAACTGCAAGCTGTGCCAAATTTCAAAATGGTGAGGGGTTCACTCCAAATTGTTCCATTTTCTTTTTTACTGGACTAGGCAAGTGGATTCATATTTTCCTTGGCAAAGCAAATTTTAATTGTCTAACAATGTTTTTGGAACAATAATAAGGACAAGTGTTTATAATTACAGTGTAGTTTGGAATGTTAACCATTGGTTTCTGTTCAGGCAAACTGGGCCAAAAATTATCTTAAAACTTTAGGGGAAAATAGTCAGTCAGGGAGTATTTTGCATAATAAATTCAAAGTCTGCAGTAAAAATAAACCTTTTACCATTACTATTTGAAATAATAGTTACAAAAAAAGACGGGTTGATTTTGATTTCAGACACACTTAAGAATACAGAAATAGAAATTATTTCTTTAATCCAGTTCTGTGTTATTTCAGACAACCACATTACATCATTTCTTTAATATTATTGAGCTCCATTTTAAAACTAATTATTTTTGTTAATATTGTTTCTACTGGGGCTTGTTCTAGTGCCTCAGTACTCTGGGTAGAAACTGCCTCCTAACTTCCAGTCTAAATTTATTCATATCTAACACAGATCCATGTATTCCTATGCCAGTATTGTCCTTAGAATAGCTCTTTTTCTTTCTTGTATTTATTCCTCCTGAGGTATTTATAGAAAGCAATCTTATACGCTCTCTTTGTTTTGCTACTTGAACTAGCAGAGCTTTCTTGTTCTTCTCCTGTAAGATAATTTTTTTCAGTTCTCTGGCTTATCCTAATACTACTAATTTTCTATATTTGTTTCCACTTAGATTCATCTTTTTTTGGAACCTGTTAAAAAACAGTATTATAAACAAAAGTACTAGTTGACAGTCATCACAAAAGCAACTTATTACACCCTTGTCTTTTTCTTCCCGTTATTTCCGACTGATGAACTCTGAGCTTATAATTTAAAAAAAAAACAACTTGGTTTTGCACAGAAATACATATTTTGCACATAAAAATACCAAATGGAGTCTTCAAGACATCATGTCCATTTTCAAAGTCTTATTGAACCATCTTCAAATATCTTATTCTATCTTAGTTCTTCTGCATATCAATGCCTTCCAGTTTCCTGCTATTACTAAATATGATGCATTTTGTTCCAACATTAAGAAATTAAAGCTTCAGGGATTTTCATTAACAGTCATCTTTCAATTATGTATTTCTTGATTTCAGCCTGATGTCATCTTCCTATTTGCAGGTTCTTATTTATCTTGCAATTGTTCTAGGACATGCCTCTTCAAACACTAATGACTTTTCAAGATGCATTTTAAGTGTTTGTCCATTTTTCCATAGATGTCATTGTTATTTCCTTACAATGTATATTTCCTATAATGAGATACACCAACTTCTTTACTCCCATTTATGTGATGTCGTAGAAAAATCTAGGCTGGAAGTGACCTCTGGAAATCTTCCATTTCAACACCATCATCAAGGTAGTGCCAATGTCAGAGTTGGAGTGAGTTGCTCATGGTCATATCCAGCTGTGTTTTAAATATAAGAAACAGTGAATTCATGTGTGTTTCAGAAATCTGATCAAGATTTTATGTAAAATGTCCTGCCCCAGAGCAAAATCAGCTGCTTGAATTTTCTCAGCTTCTGTTATACTGACTGTCAGAAATTCTAACTAGGTACCCAACCTTCATCTCTCTTCCATGCAATTTTCCTTATTAAAATCTAAAGAAAAAAATAATGACCCAAGATGTTTGGAATTAATCAACCCTTCCTGTGCTCACAGAAGCCACCTTCTACCATTGTTTTTTTTCTTTTTAATTTTACTTAGATGTAAAATTTATTTTGACAAATTTCCAAGCAGGGTCTTATCTTTTCCTAGTTTTAATTTTATTTATGCATTTCCTGAACTCTTAAACACAGTTTGTCTTCTTTCTTTTTTACTCCTTGTGAATTCATAGCTGCTTCTATATCTTTTCACTCAGTTCGGTTTCATGGCTCAAGTGCAGGTCCCCTGTAATATGCATCTAAGTGATTAACTGTGAAGGCAGAAGAGACAGCCATTTTCACCTTTATTATTTTCTTTATTGTGTCAGAAATAGAAATTGACAGCATTAGCAATGAAATTTGCTGCTACATTGATTGGGGGTAACGTTATTCGCATCTGCTGTCAGCTTGGCTCGACGCTCTGGAAGCACTGACCTCTTAACTCTGTTCATCAGGAATTTTGCTTCACTTCATGGAAGCTTCCTGTGTTCTCAGTAGTTCTGCGCGAGGACGCGTGTGCGGGTCTGACGCGTGAAGGGCACAGCTCCAGTGTAGTGTGAAGTGCTCCAAGCCTCAACATTACGGTTCCACCCTCCTTTTACCAGGCACCTGCGTCTGGGACTGGGAGGGAAGACTGAATCACAGCAGCCCAGGTTAGCTTCTGTTGCCATGGCCCAACACCTTTAGTATAGGTAGTGATTGGGGCAAAAATTATCTTGTATTTTAAATCTTGGATTAAAAAAAAAACACTTTTTTTTTTTTTCCCTAAGTTGAGAAATATGAAACGTCATGTGTTGAGGAGTATTCTTTATGCCAGTCTATATCATGGAAGGAAGGAATAGGTACCTTTCAGTTTAAATAAATAAATGCTGAGCATCCTGCTTAAAAGTGGCTTTACAAGCTTTAATTAATTAGAGGTACTTATTATGTTGATGACACTTAACATATGTAAGTATTATAATTTTACAAAACAATATACACAATGTATATTATAAACCTAGCAAAATGTTTGCTAGTTCTATGAGAGTGCAAACCTCTTTGCACTAATATCCTCAGGATTTTATTCTTTGTGTATCAGTTCTAGTAATTACTGAAGTCATAACCTAATTTCAACTTTGTAATAGGTTGAACCCACTACCTAAGTTACAAAGTAATATTTTTGGCCAGGGAAATAGGACAGCCCAGGCTACAGAGTATCATCAGGATTGCTCCGAGGAAGCTTTTGCAGCTTCTTAGCATAGATTCTATTTCCTCAGCCTAATATCAAGATAAAGGGACAAAGATAGGCATTATTGAGCCCTAGCTCCATAGTTTGCAACATTTCTGTGGAGCTGGTAGTATGCCCCCCTTACAGCTTTCTGAAGGTGAAGAATATTAGGAACTGTGACTAGAAAAAAGAAGCCAGAACTTGCCTTTCACAAATTCTTCTGTATTGCTTGTATTCTTCTGTTCCAGAAGTGGAGTTTGTATAAGGTGCTGCACAGCTGTTAATATCTTAGAACTTAAGTTGACATATTCAACAGCACTGCTGTGTTATGTCCTTTATTTTGTTGAAGGGGAAGAGGAAGGGGGGAAAAAGGATAAAAATGAAAAATTGAATCACGTTCACCATGTAACAGCACAAGCAGTTTTGTCAGCATTGCTGTCTAAGGAATTCATAGAATCATATTCATGTTAATTTATAGGCAAATGGCTAGATTTGCTTGCTACAAATGAAAATAAGTAATTTTCTAACGGATTGCTGTACAAATGATATTTTATCAAAGACTTTTTAAAAAAATTTTTAATTATTCTATTTCTTAAGCTTTACCAATTTTTTTAATTGAAGTCAGAGTAAAAGTAAACAAATAGTCATCAGCTAATCATGAAAAAGTATTAAGGCACTATGAACTCAAGTGCTGAGCTGTGTCAAATTTGCATTGTAAACATCTTTCTGAAGTTCAAGAAAAATGTTATTTTTTTTCCTAACAGGTCATATTCACAGGATGTTTTGCACTGTACTACATTTATAAATATGATGTACTTGGTTTTATTTAAATGCAAACCAAGGTAGATATACTATGATCACTTAAGATTAATCTTTTTTAATAATTAATTCAAAAAATATTACATTTGAAGTGTATAATATTGAACTGGTAGATGAATGATTTAAGTACTACCTTGTATTTTTGTCATGACTAAATCTACATAAAAGTTTTCATCTGTTGTGTACTATGCAATCAAATAATTGTATGATTATTTTTATTTGTCAATTAACACTTTTCCTGACCATTGAATTTTGGTTTCTCTTTATTTGGTGGGGGAGTAGTTATCTTTGCAGAATTCTGAAAAGCCAGCTGTAGAACTGGTAACACTGCATGAAATTTTAGAGGTAAGATGGGGTTTTTATGTAGAGATTTGGGGAAATTTCCAATACTCAGATCTGATCATAATATCTTAATAAGTTAATAAGATAAATAACAGTATATGACATAAGGTTAAGATCATTAATTGAAAAGTAGAATGTTAATTGAAAAGTAGAATGTTAGGTCAGATTTCTATTTTATTTCCTATCAAATTAAGACCCCAATTTCTTACAAGAGATGTGGCAATAATTCAGATAACTAAATCTTCAGTTTAAGCTGGAGAATAATTATCCCTTATTTCTTAATTTTATAATGATTATTTTAAAGAAGTTTTATGAGCCTTAGTGGCTATTATTAGGGGAGACAAATGCTATGCTTAACAAAAATATCAATTTTTCCATTTCATGCTATATTTTGTACCGTTTCAATAGAAGTATTTCTGAAATATACAATAACAGTTATAGAAGGACCACTTAATGTGTAGTCTTGTGCATTAACTGGGTTATCCTCTCATATGAGGAAATAGATGATTCATGCATTTCTAATTCATTTTATAAGTATGCTAGCATTGCTTAGTGTGTATTTTTAATCACAGTGCAATTTATAAATTTGAATTGCAAAGCATAATTTTGAAAGAGCTTTAAAAATCTTTTCACTAACATTGTTCCTTCTTGTCTGAAAAGTAGCATTGGAAGTGAAAATTCCTATTCCCACTCCATCCTCACTGTTCAGGCAGTTGTAGGCATCTATGTGTAAGATCTCCATGGCGGGGGGGAAATGTTTTTTCCTGAGGGAAAACTTGATGAATAACAACTTTCTGGTATTAAGATGCTATGATCTGGTCACTATGACATTGTTGTACTTTAGTTTAAAGCCCAGACTTGGGGCTTACATCATCAAAATCATTTTACATGCTTCAAGTATCTCAGCATGCCTATTAATGCCAAATTAGGCAGAGCTTGAAAACAGATCAGAATTTAAAATAGCCACATTCTCTATGGAATTGAAATTTTAAAGCTGTTCTAATGCATTAAAATTGCCCTTTGTATTTTTCTGACATTGTTAATCTCCTCAAAATGTGAACACATCCAAGTAATGTCTAATTTCCATTTGGAAGAACATACTACTCCCAAAAATTCAGACTTATTTTTAATTTAAACTATCTTGGTGTAAACTGTCAATGTCCCTTATCTTTGTTTTATGGGTGTTTTGGTTTTTTTGTTGAGCAACTTGGTTCTAGCTTCAAGTGCCTGTTAAATTTCAAGTGTTTTCTTAGATAGAGATAACAGTTTCTTAAAGAGACAAATGCAAAGTCATCTCTGTGTTATAATTACAGATTTAGGATTTGCTGTTGTAAAAACATAATTCAGTCACAGAATCACAATCAGTGCATGTGTTCCTAACCATGTCTCCTCAATCCCCATGTGTTTTGTTAGATAATGAAGGTGTACATTTTTAATAAATCCACTTTGACGAGCTAGGTGTATACATTTGTATTATTTAGGTATATGAGTAGCAACTTCATTAAATTAGCATAAGTAGTAAGAAAGCAGTAAAATCTTTTCTCATGCAAACCTCAGAATTTTTATTATACTACTTTTTATTCCAGTAATGAGCTGTAATTTTTAAAAAATGTAGTAATTTTTTTCCTTTTAAACAGTTAGAGGATTATTCCTTTCTGATTGATAATTTAGTGAACTAGCTTAAGATTTGAAAGACTGTTTACAGTACAATTGTATGTAAAATTACAGCCATAAAGGCTATTTTGAAATATCAGATGTCAGAAAAGACTTAAGTCTAAACTCATCTAAAAGTAATACATTTGGAGTAAGTATTCAGAATTGGGGCATATAAGTAGAAAAGACAAACTGGAATAATTCTTTGGAATGTTCGGAAAAAGAACAGCAGTATTTTTTTTTTTTTTCCAAATGGGTCAAAAAAAGTAAAGTCTGGTAGTGAGATTTTGAGTTTTTCTTTAGCAGTCAAGACATATTTTGTAGCTACTGAAATTAGGAAAGCTATAACATGTAGAACCTCTGAGTAGAAAGATGAAATATCTGGGATGAAGAGAGAGCACCATGGAATGGGTAAGATTATGAGGGCATAAACATGGTCTCCAAGATCAGAGAAAGAACTGTCAAAACTGATCTTTGTTTTCTAATTCTGTTAATAAATTCTGTATTTAGATAAGAAACAAAGGAGAAGTAAGGAAGCATCAAGAGGAGAAGAATTGTTGAAAGTTGCTTGTCATGCCCAAATGAGAAGTAATAACAATTTGGATAATACATTTATGAGATGAGCAAAAAGATTTGGTGTGCAAGCATAGTGAAGTTAAATTAGGACTACAATACTTAACTTTTCACAGTTATTTATTTCTAACAATAACTACAGAAGGACACAAAATACAGGAAAAAGAATTCTTCCCAATCTAAGGAGACAATTTTTTTTTAGCTTATTGGTGCAATGAAATTTTGAAAAATTGTAAGATGGACATTCTTCTCTGCTAAAATCTGAAAGATTGAGGGACAGTGATTTGTTAACAGTAAGTAGTTACAGTTTTGAGGCAAGTGATTCCCAAAATCCAGCTTTCCCTCTTATTTAATGCTTTTAGTCTTGATACTCAAATACTGATTTAAAGATTAATCATTTAAGGATTTACCACCTTCACGTTCAGACTTTTTAGGCATTTACAGTTACACTATCTAAAATCCACCAAGAATTTTTGACAGATGGTGAAAAACTTAGTCTAGATAAAAGCAGAACTCCAGTTCTATTTTTTACATCAAAATACATGTAATGAAGTTAATTGGAAGTGCTTTGTTTTACTTCTACCTGGAACAGGTCTTGTATTTCTTTTATTGCCTACATAAGTGTATCATTAGAATCATTCGTATAAATTTCGTTAAAGGAGATAAAAATCTAGCTGTTTTGTTCATTTCCTAAATCTTATCCTTTTGATCTTCCAGACTCTCATAAACAAATTAATGAGCACACCACATGAACCCTATGTAACAATCACTGACTCGTTTTGGCCACCTTATGTTGAGCTGCTGCTGCGATACGGAATTGCCATGAGACATCCAGAAGATCCAGGCAGAATGCGCCTAGAAGCCTTTCACATGTAGCCTGACCTACATGTTTATTTCAAAACAAGATAAACCACCAGTACTCTTACTTGGGGGCTAAGACATATTTTATGATGAGGGTTTTTTGCAGTCTCTTCTTAACGGATGATTTTATTTTTATTATTTTTAATAAAATGTGTATTTAGTCAGGGTATGCAATATGAACAAAGACAAAAAATTCTACTTTTAACTGCTCGTAGTTACAGTCAGCTTTCAGTTTTACAGCAAGTGATGCCAAGATTTGCATTGTGGAGGACTGTTTTAGCTGTTTTAATAAGATGCAAATTCAGATAATAGACAAAGTAAAGATGTTTAACAGTCCTTTTTAATTTAAAAATCATGCTTTATACATGACTTTTCTCTTTTGTGTTCATTTCTTAGATTGCTCTAATTCTTCTCAATTTCCTTTAGTATTTTGTTGTACTCCGTAGAGGCAAAATTTGAAGTAACTCAGCTCCTCCTGTACATGGCCATGCAAACTTTTGGAACTAACAGTGAAGTATCATCTCAAGAATGTGGGGGGTTTTGTTCCAGAGCCTTTGCAAACAAATTTATTGGCTTTAAGATAAACACATAGGAAAGCTGACAGATCTGTGGCAGAGCGCTCCAGCACAGTGCACAGGGGTTTCCTAAACCAGGGGAACGTTGTGGGGAGCTGAGACACCCGCCAGGAACCTGTGTGACAGCAGCTGACGAGACCTGGACAGGGCCAGGAGCAATGGCAGCCAAGCCCCCTCTCCATGTATAAAAAGCCCCTGGGAGTGCGAGTGACATGGGCATGGCATAGCAGTTTGCATGGGAGGGCGCACAGGGAGTGCACTGAATCTCTGCCAGCTTGACCAGGGAGCAATGTTACCCACCTCGTAGGAAGCCACGGCCTCTCTAAACTGCTCTGCGCCCACCACAACTGACGCAGCTTCCCAGACAGAGCACTGGTGGGAACACGCAGCCACCCAGGTGTCAGGCTGTAGAGTGTGCCCTGCTCTTACACCACAACAGGACCGCAGTAGTGAGCACCCCTGTGGGAGGTGTGTCCACGAGGAGAAACTACGCTTAGTGACAGCGTGTACTGGGTTTGTGTGGCAAGGTTTTGGTAGTGGGGGAGCAACAGGGGTGGCTTCTGTGAGAAGCTGCCAGAAGCTTCCCCCATGTCCGACAGAGCCAATGCCAGCCGGCCTGGCGTGTGCCCAAGCCAAAGCCAATCAGCCATGATGGTAGTGCCTCTGGGGTAACGTATTTAAGAAGAAAAAGAAAAGGAGCAGCAGCTTTTGCAGCCAGAGAGAAGAGTAAGAAGATGTGAGAAACTCTGCAAGACACCCAGGTCAGTGCAGAAGGAGGGGCAGGAGGTGCTCCAGGTGCCGGAGCAGAGATTTCCCTGCAGCCTGTGGTGAAGACGGTGAGGCAGGCTGTCCCTCTGCAGCCCATGGAGGATGATGGTGGAGCAGATACAGTGGACAGACCCCAGGCTGGAGCAGGGGCAGAGTGTGAGGAGTCCTCCCCCTGAGGAGGAAGGAGCAGCAGAGACACCATGTGATGAACTGACCACAACCCCCATTCCCTGTCCCCCTGTGCTGCTGGGGGGGAGGAGGGAGAGAAATGGGGAGTGAAGTTGAGCCTGGGAAGAAGGGAGGGGTGGGGGGAGGTGGTTTAAGATTTGGTTTTATTTCTCATTATCATACTCTGATTTGCTTGGTAATAAATTAGATGAATTTTCCTGAGTTGAGTCTGTTTTGCCCATGACAGTAACTGGTGAGTGATCTCTCCCTGCCCTTACCTCGACCCAGGAGCCTTTCGTTGTACTTTCTCTCCCCTGCCCAGCTGAGGAGGGCAGTGACAGAGCGGCTTTGGGGACACCTGGCTGCCAGCCTGGGTCAACCCACCACACAGAGCTCCAGCAGGAGGTGAGTACGTTGAGAAGTATCGGGGAGGGCAAGAGAGAGGTTACTGGAACCACACCCTACCTTTGATGGAAAGGCCCAACAGGCAGGCAGGACTCATAACAGGGATGATGCCCTGTCCTTTATCCACTTGGCAGAATGTGGTGGCTTAAAAGATAGTGGGCAATGATGGCAAGTTCCTGCCTGGCACAGCAAGACCGTTTCCTCTGTGACTACCCAACCTTCCCAGGTGCCTTTGCGTAATAGGTACAAGGCTCTCCAAGTGGAACCAAACAATAATGAGGACGATGGTTCATCTAGGTTGGATGTGTTGCCAAGGTTAGGTCAGCCTATGCCCTGCATCAAAACTACTTCCCTAAATTAAAAAAGATGGGTCATTGCCATAGGAGACTCTTCTGAGGGGAACAGAAGGCCCAATATGCAGACTGGACCTGGTTCTTAGGGAAGTCTGTTGCCTCCCTGGGGCCTGGGTTAAAGATATGAAGAGAAAGCTTCCAACCCTCGTATGGCCCTCAGGTTACTCTCCATTATTGATTTGTCATGTAGGCAGTGCTGAAGTTGCAATAAGAAGTCCAAGGGCAATCAAGAGAGACTTCAGGACCTTGGGATGACTGGTCCCAAGGAGCACCAGTAGTGTTTTCCTTTACCCTTCCAGTTGCAGGGAATGATGAGGGAAAAAATGGGAAGAGCCAGCAGATCAGTACCTGGCTCCGAGACTGGTGTCACTGGTGGAATTTTGGATTTTTTGATCCTGGGTCCGTTTATATAACACCAGGCCTGCTGGTGACAGGGTACATGTGCCTCAAAGAGGGAAACTGATCTTTGCACATGAGTTAGCGAGGGTCATTGAAAGAGCTTTGAACTAGATTTGAAGGGGGAAGGGGATAAAACCAGGCTGCTAGAGATAAGCCTGGGGGCAGCACGCCACTGTTTAAGGGACAGTGTGCTAGTGAGGTCCTTTTGGTCTGCCATCTCAGTGGAGGCAGGAGATGGAGAGCCATGTGACAGCAAAGACACGGGTTATTGGTGGGTTAGAAACCACAGAAGTGCCTGAGAATGGTTGCATAGGGACTGGAGTTTCTCCTCTGCAAAAAAAAGTGGCAGGATCAGTAGCCCCAGTGAAGTGCATCTACACCAATGCATGCAGCATGGGCAACAAACAGGAGGAGCTGGAAGCTGTTGTGCTTCAGGAAAACTATGACGTAGTTGCCATCGTGGAAACATGGTGGGATGACTCGCACAATGGGAGTGCTGCAATGGATGGCTACAAACTCTTCAGAAGAGATAGACAAGGAAGGAGAGGTGGTGGTGTGGCTCTGTATGTTAAGGAGTGTTTTGGTTGTTTAGAGCTTAATGATGGTGACAACAGGGTTGAGTGTCTATGGGTAAGAATTAGGTTGTTCACAAACAGAGAACTTGTGGGTGATGTGACAGCTGGAGGCTGTCTTGAGCACAGCGATCATGAAATGATAGAGTTTTCAATTCTTGGAGAAGTAAGGAGGGGGGTCAGCAGAACTGCTACCTTGGACTTGCAAAAGGCAGACTTTTGCCTGTTTAGGAGCCTGGTTGGCAGAGTCCCTTGAGAGAGAGTCCTGAAGGGCAAGGGAGTCCAAGAAGGCTGGACACTCTTCAAGAAGGAAATCTTAACAGGCAAAGGAGCAGGCTGTGTCCATGTGCTGAAAGATGAGTCAGAGGGGAAGACGACCAGCCTGGCTGAATAGAGAACTTTGGCTGAAACTCAGGAAAAAAAGGAGTTTATGGCCTTTGAAGGAAGGGGCAGGCAAGTCAGGAGGACAACAAAGATGTCATCAAGCTATACAAGGAGAAAATTAGAAGGGCCAAAGCCCAACTAGAACCTTAAAAGACTAAAAAATGACAAAACAAAAGAAGAATAATAATTTTTTGTAACCCTAACCAAGACCTGAAACACATTCAGGACACATAGCAATAGGAGCATGCTGGTTTGAACATCGCAAGGATATTCAAAATCCTCAAAAGCTGCTGTGACCAGCCTGAAGAAAAAGGAGAGGTGAAAGAGCAGGAGAAAGTGTCCCCCCCGTCTTCCCCATAGATTGGGTGTGATTATTAATCAATTCTGAGAAATGTCAGCCAAGGTACAAGCGTGACAGCAATGCCACATACAAGTACCAGCTTAACCTCAAGACCAGTGATGTCATCGTATCATAAGTTGATACCACGCAGTACAGCAAAATGAGAATCTGGACCCCTCTCCCAGAGGTGATAAACAGTGCTGCAGGGAATACGTACAGCAAGTACAGGCTTACATACCATGGCCATGTGACAAACAAAACACCGTTGTGATTACTTAACTAATAAAATAAATGTATATAATTGTTTTAACACTCTCTGGTCAGATCTGTCAGTATCTCAACCCTTTGTGCCCCATGTTGGGTGCCATAAAGGACTGTTGTGGTTTAGCCCCAGCCAGCAGCTCAGCACCGTGTGGCCACTTGCTCACTGGTCATTGTGTTTGTGTGTCCTGGTGGGATGGAGAGGAGAATGGGAAGAAAAAGGTAAAACTTGGAGTTGGGATAAGGACAGTTTACTGGGACAGCAAAGGGACAAGAAAATAACAACAACAATGCTTAGGATATACAAAGTGGGTGATATGCAATGCAGTTTGGTCACCCCCAGAGCCCCATGCCCAGCCTGCCCCTGAGCAGTGGGTTCTCCTCCCCAGCCAGCTCCCTTTATAAGCTGAGCATGATGTCATATGGTATGGAATACACCTTTGGCTAGTTTGGGTCAGCTGTCCTGGCTGTGTCCCCTCCCGGTTTCTTGTGAATATTAAGTTTATCCCAGCCGAAAACTAGGACAAGCTCTTCACCAACTGCTCGAGCATGGGTCCCTTCCACGGGGTGCAGCCCTTCAGGAACAGGCTGCTCCAGCGTGGGTCCCCCATGGGGTCACAAGTCCTGCCAGCAAACCCGCTGTGGCATGGGCTCCTCTCTCCATGGGTCCACGGGTCCTGCCAGGAGCGTGCCCCAGCACAGGCTTCCCACGGGGGCACCGCTGGGCTGCAGGTGGAATCTCTGCTCCACCATGGACCTCCATGGGCTGCAGGGGGACAGCCTGCCTCAC